CAATCATACAGTGCATTGACCTCGAAGATATCAGTTTTTGAAAACCCATTTCTTTGTCCCAGCTGCTGGTTTGGATTGCTGATGCCCTCTATTGTGGGTTTGCCGTTCGAGGAAAATGAGTATTTCCCATAATGCATGATGCTGCCTAAGTCATACGTCGCTTTCAGTCTGTCAATCCTTCCATGGTTATATTTGTTGAAATTATGCTCCTTTCCTATAATAATCAGGATAAAAAGATCATGTAAAGTCAAACGATTCTACTAAAACCACTTGTTTCTAATTCAGTACCAGATCTTAAAGCTACCCATAATACTCGACAAAAACAAGAAAAAAGTAACAAAACAAACAAGGAAACAAACCAACCCACTAACCAACCAACCAAATCAACAACCAACCCACCCACCAACTAATCCACCAACCAATCTACCCATGCACCAATCCACCCATCCATTAATCAGTGACTAATCCATCTACCCACTAAACAAACAAACTAAACAAGCGAAAACGGAATTCAGAAACGAGTCTTAACAGAATTCAGGTTTACTTGGTACGAACAAAACCTATTGAGAGTGACGAACAACAAATGCGTCATTTTTGCTGTCTCAAGAAAGTATGCTATACCACATTGGCTAGATTATCAATAATGTATCACTTTGGCGCGATAAACGTTCTTACTGACCTGGTTTAATGTTTTCCCACATGATTCTCACGTATTGATCTCTGTCAGGTCTGGACTGTTCGTGCCAGAAGCCCAGTGCGTGAAGTAGTTCGTGCATAATTATCCCTTTGTAAGCGCAGCCTTGGCCAATTGAGACATCTTGTCCCCCACTTCTCCAGTACCTTTTACCGACGCTTGAATAACACCTGATCAAAGGCAAAGGCTAATCAGAATCTTGAACTTTGATATTAGTGTACACTAAAAAGACTGTATACCAGCTATTTCTCTTACCCGGATTTCTTAACAAAATTGATCCAATTTTTTTCACTTGTGCGAGGGACAAATTTGACACAAGTATGCTTGTGGAATTCTTCAATGGCTTCCTGAATTACTGGTCCATCGTCATTTGCTGAGCGATAATCATTAAACATTATTAATACAACATGCATTGATTATTTGCATTTATTATTAATCATCCACCTTGCACCATTAAAAATTGTTTTTTTGAGCCACGCAAAAAAAGCAAGCAAGGAAGATATAGATAGATTTGAATAGATGAATAAATAAATGAACGATCGATCTATTGATAGAACGAATGAACAGAGAAAAAAAGAAGGAAAAAAAAGGAATGAACGAACAAACAAACTGGCGAGCGAACAAACGCGCGGACAAAAAACAAATTTCAGAGATAGCATAATTTTAGATTTAGGCGCAATTCATTCAGCAGATGGATTGACCGAACGCGGAATTTAGCTTTATGGCGTCACGTTTTTGGTAACTTACGACTTCTCAAGGTCTGGTCAATGACATAAGGAACAACTTTGGATTCCCAAACATATTTTCGATCTCTTTGAGCGTTTCTCTTTTCGTTTCCTTCTTGTGGTCCATCAACATCTTTGTTCTTCTCACCCAGGATTATATCACCTTCAAATAGGATCTTATCCACCTCTGAAAAACAGAATGAAAGGCTTAAGATGGTTTCTTTCCAGCAACACTTATCCTACAGATTTAAAATTAACTTCAAAAGGCAAAATGAATCGTCTCCGATAAAAAGCATTTTACTGTATATTAGATATCTGTGTTTAACTAATAATCACTAATGTTATCTGATATAGCAAAATGAATCGTCCCTGGGTGGGCTCGAACCACCAACCTTTCGGTTAACAGCCGAACGCGCTAACCGATTGCGCCACAGAGACATCATGGATGATAACATTCGGCTTCGCTTTGTGAAACATCGCTTTGTGAATCATCGTCTCGGGACCACAAAACACACTGTTTCCCTCGGTCCCAGTCAATAAGTGTTACGTTAATTAGTTTAATCCCCAATTCTTTTTTTAAAGTGCTACT